AAAAAAAAAAAAAAAGTCTCTAAAACAAATAAATACATAAGAGCCTGAGTCCGCAAGGGTCACCATCTAAATGCCAGGAGGTAGAGAGTTTGTTTACCAAGGCCTGCAATGGCAGATGATAAGGGGGAAACGAAAGTTGGGAAGACCCTGAGAAGAAACCTAATTAAGTGAGAAAATTATGAGTATCAAGGGTCACTGAGGAACCATGCACAACATCTTGCTCAGAATTACTATCTACTCTCCACATTCCACAGAAAACTTGTGAAGTTAATTTCTGAATGTTAGTCACAGGTCTTGGGAACTGGCAAGAAAATGGAAAGACAAAGGTGGAGGAAGACTGGGATGGTCACCAAGACACAACATAAGAGAGTGTCTGCTCATACAAAGGCTGGCCCTTGACAAACCTTTGTATCATAGTATCTGGCTCTGCAGAGCTGAGACCCGAGGACAGGCCTGACACTTGTTAGTGGAGGTAACCTTGAGCTTGGGCTTCCAAAACACAAGGAAAGACAATCCAAAATCTTGTACTCTGTAGGGAAATGATTTATATATATATATATACCCAATTCCAAGAGCATGAAACAATACCAAAGTTGAAGCCCAAAGACTAAGAGCTGGAAGTCAGAAATAGTGCATGGCACTCCACATGCAGGAGCACCATGTGTGGGTTACCTTCCATGTATCTGTGGGGAGACAGGTACCATCAGACACCTCAGGAAAGCACAATGGGGGGGGGGGCCAAGGCATGACACCTTAAATCACCATAGGAAAATACCATACAGATAAAGGGCCTTTGGGAAGGGGGCTGGTAAACAGAACAGAGTAGCTCCTTAAGGGTGTGAGGAAACTGGCAGTTTACTGTGGTCATTGTGTATGCTCTTTGGCTTGTTATGACACCACTTGGTAGGCAGATCATAAAATGGTGCTGTGTGTGGTGAGCTGGAGGTAAGGGTGATGCAGACACAGTGCAAGAACCCTCATACATGCAGGCAGGTGGGGTCTGCACAAACTGGCTTTTGGAGGCCAAACCCTTAACTCCTTTGTCGATTCACAAGAATTAAGAGAAGCACTGCTTTCTCTTTGTCCATCCCCAAAGCAAAGGATATAAAGGTACCGCCTCAGCCCAGTCAAAACTACAATCATGTTCTGATTGTTCATGTGAATGAGGAGAAGGTGGCAGCCAGATTACTGAAAACAAGCAGATCATCCCTGTTCAACTTGGAAATGAATTATACAATTTGTTTTGCAGAACAGAACTAGTAACAGGTTGTGCTTCATATATGAGGCCATTATTGTCAGTTTGTGTTCTCCAAGTCCACAATTGGGCAAGAGTTATTATGTAATTAATAATGATGATCCATAAAATGGGCTATCAGTTCTGTAAGACCTCACAAGTGAGCATGCCAGGGAACCTGCTGTAAAGGTGAATTCTGTGGAATCACGCCTCTGGATAGGTTAGATATAACCAGAGTCAGAATCCTCTTAGACTTCCTACCCCTTCTCTGGTCTTACTAAAAGTGGGACTTGACTTTTTAATTTAAAATCATAGAAGACATCTAGCGATGTTGTTACTTGCCCTCACATCAATTCTAACTCATTGTGACCCCAAGTGTTACAGAGTAGAGCTGCTCCATAGGATTTTCCTGGCTGTAATCTTTATGGAACAGCTTGCCAAGCCTGAATTCTGTGGTATGGCTGGGTGTGTTCAAACTGCCAATCTTTAGATTCATAGTTGAGAACAAACTGTGCCACACAGGGACTTACATCTAGCCTAGAAGTACTCACATCTTCTGTTAAAAGTTGCAAAGTCCATCAGCAAATGACTACCTAATAAAGAAATACTAGAGAGCACTAAGAATGTTAATTCCTACTGACCAGAATATCCCATTCTTTGGATCTATCCTGAGGAAATAAAAATCAATTATATGGTCCAATATTTACATTTCTCCAATTAGTAGATCAGAAATGGATGAATCATAACTTGTTAACTCATTTCCGTGGAGTTGATTCTGACGCATGGCAACCCCATGTGTTACAGAGGAGAATGCTCCATAGGGTTTTCCTGGCTACAATCTTTATGGAAGCAGATCATCAGGTCTTTCTTCCACAGCACTGATGGGTGGATTCAAACTGTCAACCTTTAGGTTAATAGTCAAATGCAAACTATTTGTACCACTTAGTGACCTTTATCTTAAACAACAGAAAATTTAAATTTATGCAATACATCCTCATACGGGACAGCAATAAACCCTTAAAAGCACTGCTGAAAATATTAATGACAGAGGAAAATGCTCCCATTATATAGTTGTTGTTGTTGTTGTTATGTGCCGTCCAGTCAGCCCTGACTCATAGCGACCCCTCCTTGGGTTTCCAAGGCAGTATCACTACGGAAGTAGGATTGCCCAACCTTCCTTCCGAGGCCCATTATATAGTAAGGTGTGATAAACACTTTGTCTTTGTATTTTTAAAATTTGAAAAAATAAATAAATTCTGAAACGAAAACTATAAAAATGGTTACCAATAGAACGTGGAGCCAACTGGGGTGGAGGAAGGCGTGAAAGAAAGAGTTCTTTTGGTATAAACCAAAACCCAAACTCACTGCCATCGAGTCGAATCTGACTCATAGCAACCCCTCCTTGGATTTCCAAGGCGTTATCTCTGCGGAAGTAGGTTGACCAATCTTCCTTCCGAGGAGTGGCTGGTGGGTTTGAACTGCCAGCCTTCTGGTTAGCAGTCAAATGCCTTAGGCACTATGCCACCAGACTTTTGAAGCACACAAAATATACAGCACTAACAGTGAAGCTGCTGAAAGTGGATGGGTGGGAAGAGAGGTGGGCAGCTCTTTCCTCACCATGAGGCGTCTTCGAGCCACTTTCATTGCTCTGCAGAATAGTTTGGAAACCAACAACCTAGCCCCATCTTTTAGGTTCTCTGGGTCTCTTGTCTCATAGAACACACTCAGAAAGGGCTAAATATATTTCCCAGAAGAAACAAAACGTCGGATTCTTTTGAAAGATTTATTTTTAATTAAAAAATAAAAGTTATCTTAACATATTGCATCGCAGCTTCAGGGATGGCAATTTAGTGAAGCAAGAAAAACAAAGCTTATCTGTTCTTGGGTCACCTGACCACCTTACAATGGGTACAAAGGCACACGTGTCTTTAAACACACAAAAACTTCATTCAGAAATAACTCTAATAACTCAGGACCCCTTTTCCTCAATTCTTTTTTGCCCACCCTTGCCAATCTTCCCCATCCTACCACCCCCTCCCCCGAAAAAAACAGCCAAAACATTAAATTCTCTTGTAAAACTACAGAAATAAGTGCTGAGTCAGCAAGGATCCTGGGCCTCCTGCCCACGTCCCCCCACATCTCTCTGTTGTCCAGAGGTGACAGAATGAACTAGAGCAATCTCCACTGCAGGCCAGGTATTGTGTACCCATCCCTTCAGATGACTCCCCCATCTGGGATAGGCAATTCCCTTAATTAAGGGCACCCTGTGGCTAAAGCAGCCTCTCTGTGCAAGAAAGGCCTAAGACAAGCAAGTCTCTATCAATTGTTTGTGATGAAAACACCACGAGAACTGTGGAAGGAAGGGAGACAGGAGAACTCTTTGCCCCAAGTTTACCAGCCTTTAGTCTTTTAGAAGTTTTTCTCTCCCTATTTTCCCCTTGCTTTCTCTCTTTTCCCTTTTCTTCCAATCTCCCCCTTCCCCCAAAAGAGTTTTATTTTAGCTTGATGGTGGGGGTTCCAAAGAAGTTATTGACAACTCCTGGGGCTGGCCTGGGGGCTCTGCCACCTCTAAGGGGGCATCACACGCCTTTGGTTCTTCTGGGTGACAGGGCCCCTCCTGCCCTTGAGAGGGCTCCAGGCATTGCTGGCTCTGGGCCTGGCTGTTCATCTTCTCTTCAGCTTCAATCTCTTCTGATGTAGGAATGGAGTTCTTCTTGGGACGACCTTTGGGTTTTGTGGGTGCTTCCTGTCCACCCTTAAGAACCTACGTGGGAGAAAGAGAGTTTTTAAATCCGGAAAATACCTCTTCCCTCTGCTTTCCAGCTCCCCAATAAAACCTCACACACAATACAAACAATTCCTTCTTAGCAGTGCAGTCACAGGATTTGGCAAAATGCATTTTCAAACTCATTGTTTCCAACATACAAAGACCTCTTCATTGTTTAAATGCTCAATGTACTTTTGGTCATTATTACATGTTTTAGTATTCATTAAAATGATCAAAAACCTTAAAAATTCAACTTCAACAATAAACAAAGAAATTAAAAGTAGAACATTAATGTGATAACTATCAAGAAGACAGAGTTAAAAGACAAAGACAGCAGTACTTATAGCAAGTAGGGAGATGAATATTCACACTTTTATGTGGAAGTAAGGAACATTGGTGGTAGAGTGCCTAAAGTTGGCAGTTCAAACCCACCAGCTAACCAGCTTCAGCAAGGAAGATGGGGCAAACTACTTCCATAAAGATTTACCACCTCAGAAACTCAAAGGAGGTCACTATGAATCAGAATTGACTTGATGGTAGTGTGTTTGTTTTTTGTTTTTGTGGGTTTTTTTGGTTTATTGTGGCGTGTCACTGGTAGAATATTTTCAAAAGATAATCCAACAGCTTTAAAATGTACAAAGCCTTTTGACACAGTAATTCCACTTCTAAAAATTTAGTCCCAGGAAATGATCAAAAACTTAGACAAAAACTGATAGGTAAAGATTTTCATTACAATATTGGATTATCACAGCAAATATTAGAGGAAAAAACAACCAATCATTATGGTATATACAAAATAGCAAATACTTTATAACCATTACAATTATTATATAGGGGAATATTTAACAACATAAGGAACATTATTAACCTATTCTTTGTGAGAAACAAGTTGTAAGACAACATAATCCAATTTAGAACCTAGAAGACTATATACCTACCACCTTGTTTACAATGTCAAGATTATGGATAATTTTGAATCTTATTCTTTATGTTTTGTCCGTACTTTCTAAATTTTCAACAATAAAATAAGGATTTCTGTAATTAAAAAAGAAGTAATATAACATACTGTTCAAATAATAGAGCATAATAGATAGAGTTCTAGCACTGATGGTAGAAAAATTAAATTCCAACTCTTCATTTATGAGCTTGGTCTTTGGGGAAGTCCCATGAAATCTCTATGCCTCAGTTTCCTAATATTTAAAGTCAAGATAGTAATATTTTACCTCACAAGGTGATTTTTAGGGTGACCAAGAGAAACAACATATCTAAAAATACTAAGCCAATTCCTGACAGATAGACAGTACTCAAGTCCCTTACCCCGAAACCACCAGAGCTCCTTCAACAATAGATAGCTGCTATCATTTTTGTTTCCCTTTAGAACACCTATTTTGTTTCCCTTTAAAAACAACAGACAACCTCACCAAGTGCTGAATTTTAGGAATGAATGGGGTAACTCATCAAACCATAAATTCTTTTATTGAAAGTTTTGTTGTTGTTGTCATGTGCCCTCAAGTCAGACCTGACTCATAGCGACCCCTCTTGGGTTTCCGAGGCGCTATCACTAAGGAAGTATATTGCCTAACCTTCCTTCTGAGGAGTGGCTAGTGGGTTTGAACTGCCAGCCTTCTGGTTAGCAGTAAAGTGCCTTAGGCACTACGCTACCAGAGCTCCTATTAAAAGTTTTATTGAGATATAATTCACATGCCATACCTTTCATCCAATTAAGGTGTGCAACTGAATAGTTTTTAGTATATTCATAAAGTTGTGCAACTATCACCACAGCCAATTTTAGAACACTTTATCAACCCAGAAAGAAACCTCACACCCATTAGCAGTCACTCTTCATTTCTCTCCACCTCTCCCCACCCAAGCCCCAGGCAACCACTAATCTACTTTCTGTCTCTATAGATTTGCCCTTTCTGGGCTTTTCATACAAATGCAATCATATATAGTGAAACCTGTGAGAGCCGGAACTCAACAGAACTCCCTTGCTTTTCCAGGGCAAGTTTTCTGCTTTTGACAAGGTATAAAGGCTTACCACTTCTCTATTACTCTGTATTAGTGGGAAATATTTGTGTTTTCCTTCTCTGAACATTTTTGCCTTACATATGTTCCAGCTTTCATAGGTTTTAATATAATATGTAGTGTTTTGTGACTGGCTATTTTTACTTAGCATATTTTCAAGGCTCATCTATATTGCATAGCATGTATTAGAACTTAATTTTTTTTAAGTCAAATAATATTCCATTGTATGGATACTACACATTTTGTTTATCAATCAGTTGATGAACATTTGGCTATCATGGACAATGCAGCTGTGAAGATTCAAGTACAAGTTTTTGCATAATATATGTTTTCATTTTTCTTGGGTAGATACTTTTGAATAGAACTGCTGGATCATATGAAAACTCTATGTGTAACCTTGTGAGGAATTTTTGTACTGTTTCTCAAAACAGCTGCACCATTTTACATTCCAACCAGCAGCATCAAGAGTATGAGGGTTCCAATTCTCCACATCCTCACCAATACTTATTATTATTCTTTGTTTTAGCCATCCTAGTGGGTGTAAAGTGGTATCTTATTGTTTTAATTTGCATTTTCCTGATGCACAGTAACAATGGTTAGCATCTTTTCATGTGTTTATTGGCCACTGTGTATCTTCTTTCCAAAAACATCTATTCAGATATTTTGTCCTTTTTAATTGGGTTATTTTTCTTTGTATTAAGTTGTATAAGATGTGAAAATATTTATTTATAGGCTATTGGTTGTCTTTTCACTTTCTTGATGATATCCTCTGCAGCACAAAAGTTAATTTTGATGAAGTCCAATTTACCTTTTTCTTTTTTTTTTTTGATCATCTCACCTCATCATTTTCTCTTTCTTTTTTTTTTTGTCACTTGTGATTTTAGTGTCTTATCTAAAAAGATTTTACCCAAGCCAAAATCATGAAGATTCACTCATGTGTTCTTCAATAGTTTTATAGTCTTAGGTCTATGATTTAGGTCTATGATCCATTTTGAGTTAATTTTTATAGATGGTGTGAGTAAAACAGTAAGTTCTTGCCTGAAACTAATGCCTTCTTTTACTGGGGATCTTCCACTATACTTTTCACCCAAAAAGCAAACATACAAAAGTGAAGAGGACCTTTAACAAGCTGTAAATACTGAGAATCCACCTCTGGGAAGAGATGTCCCTATATTCCTTTCGACGTAGTCAGTATCTGATTTTGATTTCAGTCTGTGCTTTCGAAAGTTCCTGAATGTGCCAAGATAGAATTTGCATGTTGAAAGCAGCTCCACTCAGTGTGAAAGAGATTATACAAAATTAAGTTGCCCCATGTAGTAATCAAGTTATAAATGGGCAGGTCTGAGGAAGCCACCTAATTGGCAAAAGCAAGCCCAGCCCCGGCAATTACAGAACACCACCTACACAGCCTGGACAGACCCCACCTGGCTTCCTGCCTATATCACGAAAAAGCAAAACAATCAAACCATTTTCTGAGTGGAATAAAACATTCCAGTGCAAGCAGTAATTAGGAGGTAACTACCCTCTTGGCTGCTTTCCGCATTGGATCTCTGGCCCCCTGCCTTCTAGCACTCTAGAGACATGTAATTACATCACCCCACCCCACACCAGGAGCACATGCTCACATGCACCCTGTAACCCTTCTGACAGGACCCTGCCCTCACCCCAATTATTCTTACAGGCAGTTTAGCTAGGTCCCCTTGCCCAGAGAGGCCACACAACCCAAAGTTACATGCCTGTCCATTCCTCTCAGAAACTCACCTAGCATGCCATCTATATTTGTTAACTTTGCCTGCTGACAGTCCTCCTAGAAGTGTGAAACAGGATATTAAGTGCTCTGTTCCTAAAAAGGTAAAGAAAGGGCCTTATCCTCCTTTTCTGAGGTGCTTAGGATGAGTCTGTCCCAAAGGCAGGGGACTGGGAATAGGGGATTGGGGAAGGCAATGCAAATGTCAGTGCAGGGAAGAAATTTCTACCATGCTCATCTTTCTGACAGGAAACAGCTTACTAAAAGCTCAGAGAGGTTCTGGTAAGATGGCGGAATAGGCAGAAACACTGCACAGACCCTCTTCAACAAAGAAAAGGGGAAAACAATTAACACAGATACAGAAGATAATCCTAGACCTCTGAGCCTTGAAGGGAAGATAAAGAAGTGGACTAAACTCCAACTAGCAGAAGAATTTGCATGAAAACACCAAAAAATGAGACATACAGACCTGTGGTCTGGCAGCGATCCTGATGGCACAGACAGCTTGGATAATGCCAACTGGTGGAAGGACCTAAGAATTAACCTAAAAATCAGCCCTGCTAGTCAGGGACTGAACGGAGAACTGCTCTAGTGGCTGGTGAATGAAAGGGGAAGCAGCAGAGAGGAAGGCGGGCTAAGCTGTGGACTTTTGTCTATCCAGAGAATGCAGGCATTTTGAATGTTTACAAGCATCTTGACCATTTTGGATATTAAAATTGACAACATTCTCCCAGATTCCAGGGACTTAAGAACAGGCTCCACTTGATGGGAACCCCAAGGACATTCTGGACCCGGATGACTGGAAAGATGTGACATTCCCCTTCTTACTCTTATACCCCACACTCTTTTGGTGAACAGAGATGCAGCCATCCCTCACTCCCACCCACCTTCTGGGCTGGCAGGAATTCCATCACTGTCTGTGTGCTCAGACGGAGCCTGGGTTCCCCACCCTGTTTCTTTCTCTCTCTCTCTCTTTTCTGTTTCTTAGTTTGTTTCTTTTTGTCTATTTGAAAACTACTACTATTATTATTATTATTGTCCTTTTTACTATTACTCTTTATTCTTCCCCTCCCAGGTTCTAGTTTACAGCTTTTCTTCTTTTCCCTGTTCATGGTTGCAATTTTTTTTCTTTCTTGTGGTTAACTCTGTACTGTGTTTTTGTGCTTTTACTTTTTTGATGGCTATTCAATTGTTATTTTTGTCTAATGTAATGGAAGAGAACAAC